TGGGCCCTTCCCTCCTAAAGGCCCTCATGGACTCCAACCAATTCAACATCACTATCCTCACCCGCAAAACCGGCTCCCAAAAGTTCCCCGCAGGCGTCACAGTCAAGGAGGTAGACTACGAGTCCCTGGACTCCCTAACCCAAGCACTGAAGGGCCAAGACGCCCTCATCAACTCGACAAACAGCTTCGACCCCAAGGTAGCAACCCGCGTCGTCGACGCCGCCGTTGCCGCGGGCGTCTATCGCTACATCCCGCCCGACTTCGGCCTGGACCCCACGCGCGCCCACATGCCGAGCCTGCCCATCTTCAGCATCAAGGCCCTGACGCACGGCCACATGCAGCAAAAGGCCCAGGAGAACAACGGCAAGTTCACCTACACCATTGTAACCAACGGGCCTTTCCTCGACTGGGGCATCCGGTCCAGCTTCATGGGCGTCGACGTCAAGAACAAGAAGCTCTCGCTCTTCAACGACGGCGACAACGTCATCCCCTACACCATGCTGGCTGACGTCGGCAAGGCTGTCGTGGGTACCCTGCTGCACCCTGAGGAGACGGCCAACAGGATCGCGTACATCCAATCCGCCGTCAAGTCGCAAAAGCAGATGGGCGCCCTCGCTCAGGACGCCGTAAGCGGCTCGTGGGAGACGACCACCGTCGACGTTGACGCCATTTACGCGAATTGCATGGAGTCTATCAAGAAGGGTATCATGACGCCCGATGTGATGTACCCGCAGCTGTTGTACGCGTGCTCCAAGAAGGAATTTGCCCAGCCGTGGGCAAAGAGCGACAACGCGCTGTTTGGCATCAAGGAAATGAGTGACGATGAGTTGAAGGCGCTGTACAAGCAAATTGCTTCGGAGTAGCAAGCTGTATGTAGTAAGCGAGAAACACCTAGCGTGATTAGCAAAATGCCCAGATTGATGCTTTTGTTGGTGATAAGATCCCGGGACTTTGCGCAGCTCAATGCCCTTCATCACGTTCATAGCGCGCCCATACACACGGCCAAGTGATGTTATATCAGCATTGAAATCTATCTCCTTCATACACAGTACATACGAGAGTTGTTCATCACGAAGGCCATTCATAATGCGCAGCCTCAAGTAGATGCTCTCGTGGGTTGTGGCATCAGCCACTCCGCTTCGGGTATGCCGTTCCAAGCCTCCCAAAAATGCATCCAAGCCGGCCAATACACCACCATATTGGCCCTGATTCTTGTGCTCGGGCTGAGCGTAATATACACAGGTCTTTCTATCCGGCCGAGTAGAGAAGTCGAGGTTCAACGAACATGAGCGTGACGGGCGGACCAAAAGGTAAATGACCTCCAGAGGGGGGTTTGGGAGTATCCGATCCTCTGGTTTGTCGGGTCCGTGCTGCCGAGGCGTGAAGTCGTTTGTACTAAGACAGCAGTATAAGAATGAGAACTTGCGAAAGAAAATCAAGTTCGTCGACATCGTTTCTTGTCCTCGCCGGGAAAAACATCAATTATTGGGTTCGATTAGGAGCGGAGCTTCGGTTCTGACTTGGCTATGCACCAAGCCGTCCTCGTGTTTGTTTTCAGGTTTAGAAGGGGATGTTGGGGGTTCCCTGAGCACCCAGAGTCTCCTGCTGCTCCTGGAGCTCCTCACCACCAGCCTCGATGGAGATACCGACACCGATCTTTGCTTGTTGCTAGAGAATTTATTAGCATACAAATTGCGCCAATTCCGACATGCTGTTGAACTTACAGAAAAGTGGTCAACATCAGCAGCCAGAGTCATCATGACGGGGGCGGCAATGCGCTTCTCCAACAGACAGCTAAGCTTGCCCTTGGAGTCGACCTGGGCGCGGAAGGTAGACATTCTGAAGTCGTACTTGGCACCAATAGTGGTGACACCCTCCTTCTGGAAACCACCCATGACGCCTGCGGCACCGGGGACAAGCGAGAGGGACAGGTCAACACCAGCCTGAACCTTCTCGGACAGACGTCTCCAGTAAGAGGTGTTCAAAGCACCCTGAGCCTGGAGCTGAGCAGTGGCAACCCAGTCATTGGACTTGTAACGGGCGCAGTATGAGGTGGCAGTCTCGGGACCCTGGGTCATGGCCTGGCGCTGCCAGACGGTCTCGAGACCAAGGGCGAGCTTGGGAGTGACCGACTGAAGGTAACTACCGATGAAGATACCGGTGACACCGCCATCCAGGCAGGAAGGGTTGAGCATCTTAAGAGAAGCCGTGAAGTCGTCGCCGGTGTATTCGTTCTCAAACTGAAGCATCTCCTGACCAGCGCCAGGGGCGGCCTGGAACTGAGTTCTCGACACAAGCTTATCGGACCATCGGTAGTTGAATCGGGTGGAGAGCTGGCCGTCGTTGTCCATGTTTCCTTGCAGGAAGACCTGGAAAGTCAGTCAGCCAAATTCATCGCGCTTTGCTTTGCAGAGCAATTGTCTACGAACCTTGCTTGTTCCGTACAACGCAGCAAAGGTGTACGGGTTCAAACGCTCGCCCATAGCGAATTGGTGAGAAACCTGGAACAGAGGCGACATGCTGAAGGCCTTGGTCAGGTCGGCGCGAAGGCCGGTAAACATGTAGTTCGTGAGCAAGACATCGCGCTGAACCTCCCTAGTCAGGTTCTCGGTGGTACCGGGATTGGACAAGCCGAGCTTCGCCCTCCGTTCCGAGAAGGAGCTGATGGCGTCTGAGAGGGAGTTGGCGACGGGGTTGTTCAGGAGAACATTCTGGATTTGTTCCAAGCTTGACGCCATTGTTGCGATGGTCGGCGCCGGCCTGAGTCGACAGAACCGTTTAGAGAAAGGGCAAGAAAAGAAAAAGAAAAACCGGGAAGAGAACAACAAGAGAACCAGATGATCTGGATCTGTTCGAGATAATACAGCTGCGACTGCCCTGGGGATCGGTTGATGCTCGCGCAATGGGCAGGCAGGGGCGTTTGGGGGGGAGAGGGTCGTCGAGTCGGAGTCGGGTTGGTGATGATTGGAAAGTCTGAATAAATTTCTTCGCTGATTACAGGCAGAGGTGCTGGTAGAGCGAGCACGAGCCACAATGCCACGCTAAATCCAATGGGAACAGCTGGCAGCCACGACTGGTCCAAGTCGCGGTGGATCTTTCTTTTGGAGCTCCAGCTCCTAGGTGGTCAATGACAGAATAGCATCACGTGATGACACCCAGCTTTCTGGCAGCGACTTACGTCAGGCCAGCAGGTCCTGTCGGTCCGAAGCTTAACCGGGTCTGACTTGTCGGGTTGTCTCCCCGGGCTAGTCCCAGGATGGACGACAGACCCTTGCCCGCATCCGGTACGTTCCCTTGGCCCTCTCCATCGCTGAGCCCAACACCTTCTTTTCTCACAGTGTTAGTCTTTGTGCTCCCTGAACTACCACACTACCTAAGCGACTTACTACTAGGCGACGACCTACTTCAACTCACATCTCAGATACCCTCGGCTTCAGATTTTCAAGGTCATAATTTCTAAGAATTTGGGGATTTCAATATCCTTTACGCCACTACCTGAACACTTCTTTGGTTGGGCTTCGGCAGCACAGGCCTTCGTAGAGTCCCCTTATAAGAGCCGCGGGCCGTACACAAACTGGCGGCTTAAATCGGAACGGGACAGCTCAGACACCAGTGCCACTTCAACCTCGAATACCTAGCTCACCAAACCCTTTGAAGCAACTCACCTGCGCGATTTTACCTGCTGCAACCAAAGTTCGTTGCGCTTGGTCGAGAGTAGGATACACCTTGTATAAGCTTCGCAAAGACTGGAAAACAACGGCCACTTTCTCAACTTAACCCATTCGAACCTCGAAAGCAGACAGTGCGTCACCGTGTCTCCGCTCTTTTCTTCCGCAGCGGCCCCTCCATCCGGTCCAGAGGCCGTGGTTGCCTCAAGCGCAGCCCGCTCCCAGCTTCGACGACGGAGCATCATCCTTGACTCCATAGTTGTTTCGAGGTCCCAAGAAAGATTCGGCTCCAACCGTCAAAATGGACACACTACTGTGAGTTCCTCTCTTCTTAGACACCTGCCTGTGGTAAAAGGAGGGGTCTTCATAACCCCGCCGATTCATGTTCGACATATCAATCCCCTCCTGTGACTGAGGCGAGTGCTTCTGGACACTGCGTGAATACAGTCCGAATTTAGTCAGAAACACGAGTGGCTACTAGGAAGCCAGGAATCTCGGAAGACTGGGATATCAGCCCGCATGTCAGCTATGCTGGTCAATCCTGGAGCGCGATCCATCTCGCATAAGCCCTCTTGTTGATAATGGCTCGCCCTGATCCAACCTCCTAATATACAAGTTCCTCTATCTTCGCAATGACAGGTCCAACTTTCAAGTGAGAGGAACCTGCAACGTTTGATAAGACAAAGATTGCCATGGCAAAGGCCCGTCCTCATATGTTTGTTTGCCCAGTCTATTCAAGCATGACATCTGGGAAGAGTTGGAAGGAGTCTTTGGGTCAATTCAACATACTAGAGCACAAGGACACAAACAAAGTCTCACACACAGAGTCCACCACCTTCGGAGTCATAACTCTGTCACGGGCTGCGATGCCTCCAACAACCTCAACCACATCCAAACAGCTCACACCAGGCTGGATTGTTGCCAGTCAGACCTTAGCACGGCTGAGCATACTCGCCTTTCGACTGTCGACGGCTGGTGGCTATAAGATCTTATTACAAACGAGGCGGGTGTGCCCGTCTGTGAATACCTACATTGGACGCACGACATCATCAGAACTGTCAACATGGCGAGTGCCCTTTAACCCCTCTTTCCACGCCTCCCAAACTGCTGTTTACTTCTCCTGCTTTCCTCTCTTCCCTCTCTTTACACTGAGCTTTCTGTTTTCTTCTCTTCTCTATCAACTTACCCATCACAATATCCATCATCAATACTTCTCATACTCACTCTCTGCTCTGAGCTTTCTGCCTTATTCTTCTTCTGTTCCCTACCTATCAACTTCCCTATCGAAACATCTATCACTACCTCTGATCCTCCCTCACCACCTGATCAGCCATGGAGAGGGAGAGGGCCGCCATGGACTGGGTTGAGATGCTCAACATCTTTGAGCTCCAGAGAATCTTTTACCGCCCTCGACCGGAACTTGGAGATCTTGGTGTTGACGTGACGCTTCATGATAGTACCGCCGAGATCGCGGCCAACGCGCCGAGATACCGTCGCAAGAGCTCGACCTTCATCGACGGCATTCATGATGTTCCCGAGGATCAGGACATGGCGCCGGCTCAGCTTTATAGCACAATGTCTGGCCGTCTGTTCCATTCTGGTCGCATCGCCATCGTCATGGTGGGCCTTCCGGCTCGTGGCAAGACGTAAGTTCCTCCTACTTCACTGGCTTGGAAAAATGAGAGCTAACATTTTTCAGTCACATCTGCGTTTCCCTGGCGCGTTACTTGGGCTGGTGAGTCGAAAATGCTTGCTTGGAGCGCCTTGACTGACGTTTTTTCAGGTTGGGAGTCAAGACCCGCATCTTCCACCTCGGTGATTACCGTCGTGCCACCGTTGGAAAGGGCGGTATCGTTCCCGAGGATTACTTCTTCCCTGACGCCTCTCCTCAGTCGGTCATTCTTCGTCAGAAGATCCTTAAGAAGTGCCGTGAGGACATCTACGCCTGGTTGAACCATGAGAATGGACAGGTTGCGATCTACGATGCTGTCAACCCCACCGCGGCTGGTCGCCGTGCCCTGGCTAAGGAACTCGCTAAGCACGATGTCCAGGTAAGATTTGGTTCGACCAGTCTGATAACTCAAATCCCTAACGTTTCATAGACGCTGTTCATCGAGTCTTTCGTCGACGATGAGGCCATTTTGCGTGAGAATGCGCGCAATGTCAAGATCTCCTCCCCTGACGTGAGTGCTCGTCCAAACTCGATAGTGACGCGGTGCTAACGTGTGCAGTTCGCGGGCATGGACCCTGATGAGGCTGCCAAGTTGTACTTGCGCCGCATCGACATGAAGATCCCCGTCTTCGATACCATGGACGAGAAGGAACTCAACTACATCAAGATGATCAACGCGGGACAGAAGTTCTTCTACAACAATGTCTCCTTCGGCTACCTCTCTCACCGCATTGTCTTCTACTTGACCAACCTTCACATCAAGTCGCGCACTACCTACTTCGTTCGAGCTGGCGTTACCACCGAGGAAGACTCGTACAAGGCGGATGCGCCTCTTTCCGAGGAGGGCATGGCGTACGCTGCTCGAATGTCCGAGACACTTCTAAAGCACCGCGAGCAGGAGCGCGCTGCCCTCGTCGAGAAGGGTGGCAATGCTGTTCCCCTTCGTCCTCTGTCCGTCTGGACCTCCACTCGTTGCCGCACTGTTCAGACTGCGGATTACCTCAAGAACAAGGGCTTCAAGGTTCGCCAGCGTTCTCAGATGAGCCAGATCAACCCTGGTGTCTGCGAGAAGATGTCGGAGCGTGCCATTCGTCACCTCTACCCTGAGGAGGTCGAGAAGCACGAGCTCGACCCGTATCATCATAGATACCCCCGCGCTGAGGTAAGTATACAGACCTCACAATTAGTATTTGTTCATGAGTAGCGCTAATATCACATAGTCCTACCACGACCTCGCCGTCCGCCTTGAGCCCATCATTTTGGAGCTTGAGCGCGAGCAGAGTGATCTTCTCATCATTGCGCACGAATCTGTTCTTCGTGTTCTCTATGCCTACCTGATGCACTGCGCCACCATGGATATTCCCATCCTCAAGTTCCCCCGCGACGAAATCATCGAGATCATCCCTGCCGCCTACCAGAACGAGGCCAAGCGCGTCCACATCCCCGGTGTCGACCCCAAGATCACCCCCGGCTCCCCCGAGGACATTAGCATCCCCGTCCCTGGAGGTGGAAGCGGTGTCGCCAGCGGCAACCTCTCGCCCATGCCTGGTATCTCGTCCCCTGCGGAGCCCAACGTCGTCGTCGAGCGCCCACCCGAGAAAGTCATCAACACCGCTGCCGAGATGGTCGCTGATCGCCAGAATGACGAGGACTAAGGTTGTTACACACATTAGGGTTCTTTCTTTCTTCTTCAACTTTTTTGGAAGCTCGATTGGTCCACTGATTATTACTTTGCTCGAAAAAACGAAAAGGATGTTGGGAGGCATATATATCTCCCTGCCTTTCTCGTTCGGTGGACCTGAGCGAACGTGGGAGGAAGGACATGAAGGTTGAGAGAGAGAGAACGACGGATCGGAATTTGCTATCGCGGATGGGAAACCCCCATCAAAATTTGCTCGTACCGTGGGATAACTTTGCCCACGATGAACTTTTGTTTTGCGTCCTACGTTCGGGACGTCGTTTTCCCCTCCGGCCAATGGAGAGAAACAGAAAACATGGTATTCGGTTATTCGGTTACTCAAACGCGTCAGAACATGGGAAAAAAACTGGGAAACTAGGTCAGGTCAGGTAGCTGAATCTTGATGAATGACGACCCAGTCATCAACAGTATTATTTTATCCCAAGCTATCTGTGGTGTGTAGAGAGGGGGATGGATAACCATCGACTCCCTCCGTCTTTGCTTCCAATCCCGTGGTATTCCGTTTTTCTTCTTTTCATCGCCCCAAAAGGAAACAACACAAAACTCCGGAGAACGCCCTTCTCGTGCTGCTCATCATCTGCAGGCGCTGCGACCTCTCGCGTGGCTACCCACAGTTGTAAGTATGTACCTCTTCTCTGCTGCTTCCCAAGTCTATCTCGGTCCACCAAACTCCTCGCTATTCCAGGGCCGAGACAAGCTCTCGTCGATTCGAACCCCAAATGCATCAACGCGCTGGTAAACTCATAACTTTGTCTTTCTGACTGTCGCTCGTCTTGGTCTGTTTGATCTGTCGTCTGCATGTCATTACATCACTGCGCACTCTCGCTCTGGCTCATCTCCATCCTTGTGCTTCTTTTTCTCTGTAGAGCGGCTCTTGGACTTGCCTCTCTTGTGATGCCTGTGATGATGCTCTGATGACTTTCTTTCTTTGAAGTCCTTGGATTCTTTTCTGTCGGTTTCTGTAACTGGTGCCGCAACTGGTGTTGGTTCGGCATCAGCGTTCTCGACAAATTCCTCCTCAGTCACTGGATCAGGAATAGGTGCACTGATGGATGTGGCGAGCGCGTTGCTGCTCACGTTACTGTTGGGGTCACGGAGCGGCTCCTTGCTGGGTCGCATGAGCCCGCCGAGTCGAGTCATGGTAAGACTGATGCGGCCCTCTCCTGCTTGACTCGTAGGTCTGCTCTTGCTCTTGCCCGTGAAGAGGGCGGCGGCGCGCGAAAGCCTTTGAGCCGTCGTCTCTTCTCCCGGGGTCACGGCGGGCGATATGGCATCCGGCGTGATTGCTGGCGTGCCTAGGGTGGAGTCTGTGAAGGTAACACTGCCCCTTCGAGAATCCTTGAAACCTAGGTATGGCTCGTCATCACCGAAACTTATGCGGCTAGGACGCTCCAATTCCGACGAAAAGCGGATGCTAGGCGCTTTGGGTGGAGATATTGATGTGTTCTCGAAGTAGTCGCTCCGCGATGATGACATTCCGGAGTTATTGCCGTTGACCGGGTTCGGTGTGGTCGGTAGGTTGACGCTGACCTTGGACTCGTTGTAAGAAGGAGGCTCAGTTTCCGTCTCTTCCGTCGACGCCACCTCTACCATCGGTACGATCTGGTAGAACAGGAGGTAGGGCATCTCGTCCTTCAAAGCTTGCTTGATGTCGTCCACATAAGTCACCCTGTTTTCGATATTCAAGTCGTCAAATTTGACCCATTGCGCCTCCTCGTAGTCGGGAGGAGGGTCATTGTCGTGCCTTCTATTGTCGGTGAGGAGTTTAGGCGCAACTCTGGCGAATGAAATGTAGTGTCCGCTGTAGACAGAATCGCCACGATGACAGACCACAGACTGCAGCACTAACTTATACTCCATGCTGAAGCCATTGGGGTCTTCCTCAAGCTGTGTCTCATCGCCGAGCATGAAGTGCGGAAGCCTCAGACTGTCCGGAATATCGATAAAGGTATTCTGGCGTTGGGGAACGCCGGAGTTCGACATCATGTACCGCTTCAGGCAGATGCCGACGACAGGACGCTGGTTGAAGTTCATAGCAACCTCCATGTCGTTCTTGGGCTCCTTGTTTCCGGCGGCGTGCCATGGAATCAATCTGAAGAACTGCCAGGCCGGAATCGTCACGGCTTTCACCACGGTAGAGCTCGTTCGTCGCGCCTTTTCCAGCATAGTGGATGGCTCAGTCTCCTTTCCCTTGTCTTTGTCCTTCTCCTCCAGTACCACGCGTTGTATAACACTAGTTGAACGGTGTCTTGGAGTTGGCCGCGAAGAGCTGCTGGGAGACTCTGGCACGCCATTGGGTGTTTGCGAGGCTGTCCACCGCCGCTCAAGGACGGGAGAAAGCTGCGCGGGGGACGCACTCAGCGTGTCTTGCGCGCCAGCCTCTAGCTCATTCTCTTGAGTAACAATCCGTATCCCGTTCGTATTGGTATTCGGGGTTGCCCTCTCCGCCTCTTTCTTGTCTTCGTGGCTGTCCCTTAGTACATCAACCTGTGTGTTGAAGTATTCTTCCAAGCAGTCTTCTAGCCTGATCCCCTTACCTTCCGAATCAGGAGGTACAGCGAGGTTGAGGAGTCTTTCGTAGACCAATTTATGGTCGTCCTTATCGTTCTTGCCTTGGTGAAAGAGGTCGACTTGTAATTGCAGCAGGGGCAATTGGAGCGTTTCTGTGACGAACGCGAAGGCTTCCGAAGTATCTTGCTGTTCCAGGAGCTTGGCGTCACTCCAGCCGCACTCAGCCAGCGCATCCTGAATCAGTTTCGTCTGTGACGATTAGCGCAGGACAGGTACTACAAGACCAGCCGCAACTCACCATATCTGCGTGAATCATTTTCCCGCTCCTGAGCATGTTCACCCACAATCGGAGAAGCGTGACTAGTTTGCGCCTTGGTTCGTCCGTGAAGTCGTTCTTCAGCATACATTCGAAGGCGTCGAGTTTCGCAAACATGGCAAACAGCAGGGAGTCAAGGTAACATGTGACGTTACCCCTATTCTCTGCGCCAACCATTTCGATTTGGGGATTGTAGTGTGCAACCTTGCCGGCCATTGCTTTGCATTGCAGCTGAATGAACTCCACGGTTTTGTCGACATCGCCATCAGCGAACTTGCTGTTCAGAGAGTCTCGAATGTGTTCCGCAGAAACGTCGGTGATGTTCGACTCGGCAAGTAGGTGTGTAATGTCTTCGATCTATGGTATTGTTAGACTTGTGCAATGCTGCAATGCTGCGCTTGGTGTACCTTGGCCATCTCCTTCTCCTTTATTTCCTCGTCGGTCGGTGCTCGATCGCTCTTGAAAAGGGACCTGAATGCTTCGGCTGAAAGCGGTCGGTTCTAGATTGAGCGATGTGGGATTAGTGTGGTTGTCCCCATGGAGACGGACTTTGAGAAGGACCATCTTCAGTTCCTTGGGTATGAAGCTCACCTTTTGTCCTGGTTCTGAGGATTTGCTTCTGCGATGCGTGCCACTCCTGTCCCGCAGGCTAAGAAACTTTTTGCCCTTCATGATTGCAGATCCTGTATGTTGCCAGAAGCTGGAATAGCTAGGTTCGCGATATTGGTGCCAAAGGGGCTTGGCGACTCGAGAGAAGCAATCGTCTCAGCGATCAAGAATCATGGCCAGGTAGAAAGTTGCACCCCCATCGGCCAGCAATACGGGAGTGGGTGAGGTGGGGAGCAAAGCTGAGAGGAGATGAAGAATGCACCGAGTGCGAGGATAGGTATGGAGGGGTTCTGGCGCGTGTCGGCGGGGCAGATTTTCGCAGTCGCAAAAGACGGGGCTGGGCCGCTGGGATGATCAGGTCTGGACTCTGGGCTGTCCGATGTAGTAGCAGAGTGATAGGTTTTCGCTGATCTGGTGGCCTGCGACGGTAGGGTATGAGTGTTAACCAAGTATCTGTTGTCTGTCAAGTAGACAAGCTTGATTCTCGAAAGCCAAAGGGATATGCTGCTTGGTTTGTTGCTTATGTTCGGAGTGTAGAAAAAGAAGAAGTAGAAGTGAGAAGACGAGGTCCTATGGTTAAACACACGGGGGACTGCTGAAGCAATAAAGGTAGCGAAGGACCTTCGACTGGCTCCTCGCGCCAACAAGGGTCAGATGGTGGTGGTTCGTGGATTTGGCACAGAAAATTCGGGGTCCAATGTGAGCAGCAGCTTTGGCAGGGTGCCGTGGGTGCCCACGGTGTATTGGTCGTGTGGAGAGGCACCAAGTGGACGGACCGTGGAGGGGCGTGTATTCGTACCGGCGCGGCGAAGCTTGGGTGGGATGGTACTTTAGGGCCCCTGAGAGATTTCCACCTCAACTTGCTGCTGGGGGCACTCGGCGTCCTTTGCGGACTTGCCGTCAGTTGACTCGGGAGTCTGGGAGCGCCAGGTCGGTGGAGGGTGGCGGCAGGGCGGACTTTCAGGTTTTACTTGCTTTCTGTGACTGTTGCTTCAGACAGACAAACACGACGTATCCAAGATGACCATGACTCCGAGCTGACCTGTCTTTCTTCGAGCTGACTTTTTGTGGTATAGGCTTTTTCGGTTGGCAGCAGACGGAGTGTGTTACGTGGTGAGATGGGGCCATAGCCTGTAGTGTACGGATGGATAGTAGTAGCAAGGGAAAAGCCAGAATGTTCTTGAGCTTGCTTGGCTGCCACAATTCTTACATATGACCGACCAGGCTCCGAATGTGAGTAAAAGTAGCCTGCCCCAACATCCAATGTCCACGCGAGGTGACATACGTAAGGGCCTGTCCGTCGTGGGAGTAACATCCGAAATTGAGTTAGGCTGCCCATTTAACAAGATGAAAGTGGCAAGTCGCGCATCGCATCAATTACTGGTCATTCGATCTCCCAGTCACAATGGGAAATGTTGAGTGAAAGTCCTGACATGGCCTGAACAAGGACATTTTAGGCTGGACGTGACTCTCGTCAAGTCTCGCCTCTTGTTTCGAGGTGGTTTATTAGGGCCCGAATGATACCCTATGGGACACATCCTGGAGCGTCCCTTACTTCGATGCGTGTGCAATAGATCCGATATCATGGCTCTGTGGCCCATGCTCCTGGTTTCATAAGCCTATTGCTCCAATGTCCATGGCCTTTTACACCGAACAGGCTTCGCCAAGAACAGACGAAGAACAGCTGGTAGAAGAACGAAAACAATACGAGTGTCTTTCACTGAGCCACCCTAGAGGCTCAACTCTAACTTAGCAGCAGAAGCAATGCGCTTACACACACTCCCGCACCCGTAGCAACGCCCAACGCCCGCAAACAAAGATCAAAGTCTCTTGACAATGAATGGAAACTCTGTCGCACCATCTGCCACTTCCAAGCCCCCTCGCCTTGTGTGTGTTGGATGTTGATCTGTCACTGAAACTAACCTCCAATCCGATGAAGAGCGCTCGCGTAACCTGTACACGTTCGCTTTCGCGTCCATCCTGGGTACAATCAGGCAATCTGCATGTTAGCGCGCGCCGCCGCCGCACATCGAAGAAGGCAAGAGGCACAACAATGCCCATCGTTGCTCATCGTAGCCCATCCGTCCGTCCCATCTTTGCCTGTTCGTGTCCGAGAGTGCTGCTTGCTCAAGTGGTCTCCCCACCCTGTCAGCTCCGCGTACCTTAGTCGGAAGGTAAAGCTCCAGCTTCTGCAACCGAACGCGCGCTTGCTGACCCATTGAGCTGGTGACTGACAGACAGACATTCAGCTGAGGACCCGAATGACTGCTACGTAATCGAGTTGCGTGCACGATTTACCCGCTCTAGTAGAATGGATCGTCGGTGCATCACCATAGTCCGAAGCTCGATGGAGGGTGTCCCACGGACGGCGGCCTGGTTCCAGATGACGACAGTGCAACGACCACAAACTAACCTTGAAGGCCCGAAAGTCCGGAGGCTGCTGGTCACGTTCGCTCCGGCGGCCCCCGAGTGACATTCCCATGTCACTTCGCGTCCTGCCGCCTGGAGATCCAGGCGTTAAACTGCAGAAAAGTCAAGCCACATTTTATCCTCAGAGCTGAGCGGAAAGTTCCACTTTAAAAACTGCACCAGCCACAGGTGGCACGGGCCGAACTGAGCAGTTCGAGATTGAAATTTCGAGCATCGCGACTTACCCTTACAGACGTGTTAGGTTGCGTCTCAGTTGAACGACTAGCCATGGCCACTCTACGGGAAAGCTCCCGATTAACTCGGTTTGTCTGCAGGCAGCGCTCGCCGTGGCAATTGACCCCTCTTGTTGCCCGGCGATGCGAATCTACCGCTGCCGCAGAGGCTCGGTTCCCCGATCTTGAGACCTCGTCCCTGGCTGCGCCTGGCCCCGACGATGCTGCCATCCAAGCTTTCAACACGGCGAAGCGCTTGTCTGACAGACCGCAACAGCTTCCCGGAAACAGGTGCGCACTGAGATCCTCAACTACAGCGTGAGGCAGAAGGCTAACAGATGAGGTGACAGATACCAGTACCATCCCCCTAAGTACGACAGAGGTCCTCTTCACCCGATTCAATCACCGCCCTCCACCGATCCCACGGCCCGCGACTTCGTTCCTGGACCCTTTAACCTCCCTAGACTGCGCCAGACCTACGATACGACCATCGCCGCCGATCTGCTCACGATGACCTACCTTCACAAGCCCCCAGGTACACCAGACCCCCCGGTACGGGAGCGTTTAAGGGCATGGGACGACTCCTCGCCGTACAACAAGAACCGTCCCCTCCGCGGGCCTAGAGGTGGAAGCAAGCTCGACGTGCTGGAGAAGAACATCGACTGCCGGTCCGTTCCTGAAATCCTGGCCGTATCGCTGCACACCTTCATCCCCTCGGCCGCCAAGGCGCCGGGAACGCTCCAGGTCGCCCGTTCGGTCATCCAGTCCATCAGCGGCAACGTCCCTGAGGTCACCAAGACCAAGAACAACGTTATCCAGTGGAAGATCCGCGAGGGCGACAAGACTGGTGTCAAGACGACCATGCACGGTCCCCAGGCATACGAGTTCGTTGACAAGTTGATCAACCTCGTTCTGCCCAAGATCAAGGACTGGCCCGGTGTCAACGCGACCACTGGTGACGGGAACGGTGGTATTGGTATTGGTCTGAGACCCGATGACCTGGTCTGGTTCCCCGAGCTCCAGATCAACTACGACATGTACCCTGCCAAGGTGAGATATTCCGTCTGCCTGTATCTTGTGACCACGATGCTGACGAGTCTCCACAGCTCCTCCCAGGTTGCCATATTTTCATCCACACGAGCGCAACCTCGAACCGCCAGGCCAGGCTTCTGATGCAGGCTCTTGGTCTTCCCTTCTACGGAAAGTTCAAGGATTAAAAAGGGGGACATTGTTAGGAAGGATTACCCCGTTTTGTACGATATCAACACATTTAGAAAGCCTGTATATGAATGTACCAACAGATACGGTCACTCTTGAAATGTACTTTGGGCCAAAACTGTGTGATCATGTTCTTGGTTCATCTTATGCGATAGTAGCCGTCTAATACCATAATGCCATGTTTCTTTTGGTCGTCGTCCCGTACGTCGAAAGAATCCTCATGCCGAACCACCCGCCGAAACGCCGTCCATGCAAGTTAACCATACCAAATCCTCCCCATACCCATTCCTTTCTCGCATTTCCCTTTTATCTATGCCGTAATCTTGGCCTTGAGCGCATTCATAATCTCATCAATGTCATCCATGTTCTCAGCATCGACCTTGCCGTTACGCAGGCCCTTCTTTTGCAGCTCATCCGTGAGGACATCCGCGCCGGGCTGGTAGTTCCGCACGGCAGAGCTGAGCGCGTAGACGGCCTTTCTCCTAACAGCCTCCTCCTCGCCGTCCTTGGTCGCGAGCGCCACGAGGGGCGGGATGCCGCCCACGGCGAGCAGGCGCTCCTGGCTAGGCAGGTTATTCTGGACGGCGGTGCCGACGCACCAGGCGGCCATGCGGCGCAGCTCGTGGGCCTCGTGCTCGAGGCAGGAGAGGAGCGGGGTCCAGAGGCCGAGGTTGGCAATGTTGTTTGCGTTGTCGAGGTTCTCGATGAGCTGCTCAAAGTTGTCAAAGGCGATGAGCTTGTTGTCGAGGGTGATTTCCGGGTCCGGGGAGGTGATTGCCTCCATGGAGAGCTTCATGAGCTCGGCGTCGCTGGGGCCGTTGCCGAAGAGGGCTGCGATGGCCTCGGGGTTGAGGGTGCTGGCTGGCGCTCTTGCGGCGGTGGCGTCGGCGGGTGGTGAGGTGCCGTTCTCGCCGCCGGTTTCTTGGTTTTCGATACTCCATTTGAGGAGCTCGTTGAGGTGTTTGTCACCCATGATGGATATTGGTGGTGAGTTTTTGAGGTGTAGTAATTTGAAGTAGCCTCTTATAACGATGAAACCTTTCGGCGGTTTATTGAGACTGGATGCAAGTTTGAATGAGAAACCTGAAGGGTGTATATTGTGTTGATGTGTAGAGGTTGTTTACTATCAACTTCCAGTCCGTCACTCACTCTCACTTGAACTCTCATCAACATCAAAAAGTTCTCCATCACCAAGAGCCACTTCCCGCTCTGACTGGCTGCTTCTGATTTGCTACCCTTTTCTGGAACCTTCAAGAAGCTTGCCTACTATCGAAAGCGGACTAGCGTCGATCTCACGTGAGGAGCCCTGATCAAGGCCAGCTCAATGCGTCGTTTATGCAGCTCGAATCTTTTGAAACTTGGGCAGACAGACTTATGGCCAGCGAATCTCTTACAGCCCAACAATGGGATCATGCAATGGGCTGAGTTGGCAATTCATCTGCCAGTCAAACATTGGATACCCTCCCGGACTCTGGATCCGGGAGTCTTGGACTCGTCGAGGGAATGGTCGAAGACAGTCTCCTACTGTAGTAAGGTGGCTGGTAAAAAGATGTGTACCAAAAAAAAAGTTCCAACTGCCCCACCATTGAATGAGTTGCCCCTCATTGCCGCTTTAACTTGAGGTAGCCATGGACAGAGCTTCCTTGAGGTACCTACCCAAGCTACGATATTGCGACGCTGAGCTGAGCAGCCTCCAGCGATGAAGTCACTGAAGCACACGAGACCTGGCAACTCGAGTTTTCTGTATCCAGGTTCTGATAACCCCAGGCTTCCCAGCCTTGCATCCTTCGTCTGAAAGTCTTTCTGGTCGTCCATTTCCATGTTGCATGCCTCGCTGGACAGGATGCAGCAATCAGGCATAGCGTCCCCGCCGCAGATGATCAGGTTACAGCTTCCGCCGTATTCTCCTATCCGATCTGTGCTAAAAGGACCCGATCAACGGAGACGCCGCCCGGCAACCCGGAGCTCCCAGCTCAGCCACACTGGAAACGTAGCACGGCGTGTAGTTGTCACCCGCGCTGTTTCTTGTTGGGCTTCCCACACAAAGCTCGAAACACAGTTTCTGGATACATCACGCATAGGCCGGTACGGAGTTCATGTCAAAGACGAGAGCGAGCGCGTGAACGAGGCTCCAGCCTAGAGTATGTATGCGAGTTGCGATATGCGAGGCTGGCATCCGAGAATCCCATGCCAATCAGCCCCCCTAGGACCCCGGGGTCTCGTTCCCGCAAAGGGCGTCCATACGCGGGTACGCAATTTTGAACCACCAGAGCCGTGACCCCATCGAGCCGTGTCCAGGAGAGTACGGCCCTTGCAGGAGGCAGCTTGGTAGGCCCGTCGTTCGGTGGTGTCGGCTTCGGGGTGCCTGGAGGTACCTTTCAAACTGCCTGGTCCGTCTACTGTGCTTCCGTGCCTGTTTGTCGCCGCCTTTGCTTTCTCGGGCCCGACGTGCGATGTATGCTATGCATACGACGGGAAGGAGGCAGGTAATAATTAGTGCTGTGAACGAAAATAGATTACCTATGCCTGCTTGGCACCTTTGTCCGTGTCTTTGCTGCTTACGGAACAAGATGACGTACGACTCGTTGACGAATGGACGAGCAATAGGACGGCTGGCATGTGGTTTGCTGGCGCAAATCCGCCCGCCGCCATCGAGCATGAACCAGGCGGCCGCGGCGGGAATCTTGTTGAGAGTCTCACGTGGGCGTCGAAGAGCGGCCCTTCGTTCCACAGTCCATGAGGAGATGGGATGGATTCGCGATACTGTGTCCGCTACCTGCCGTGCTGCAATGCTGTCCTCCCTGCCCGACTGCTGTCCGGCGCGAGATGATCTCGACCAGGCTGGCTCCCATGATCCCATGCTCTTGGCCTGGGTTAACCTTGTATTTTCATTAGACCAGAGCGTGCGTGCAGGTGGTGGATGTGGGGATGCCCTTGAAGATAATAGAGGCGTCACAGTTGGACTGAGAATGGCGCACTGTTGGGCCCATGGCTTGGCTCGATTGGTCCGTGGTCGAGGCCGTGGAGAGATGGAGGGCATTAGGTGAGCATCTCTCACCGTCGGTTTCAAGCTGCCTGAAGAGCAGTTGGCGAGTGACGGATAGGGTGACGAATGTTCTTGGCTTCAATAGTCACTGCCTGGTGGTTCGAGGTGATAGATAAGGCACGGAGACTGACGAGCTTCTTGTTGGTATCAGTGTTTGCTGTATTGAATACAGCACAAAAAGACCGAGAAACAATTCATTTGGATACGATACCTGCCTCGAGAATTCAGTAAAAGTGTACTTATCCGAGCATCGACGGGATAATCGCATTGCCCACCAGCATCAAGACCGAATTGAAGGTACGACCCCCAATTCGACTTTAGTCACCGAAATCAGCGGTCCAGGCCGGAGAAAAGAAGACGATACGGATACTTGGAGGGTCTCGCATCTCCTCTGCAATATCAGAGGTTCCTCTTTGCCTTCGCACCCCAGTATCACCAAAAAAAGGGTGAGTGAGTGAAAGTGCGTTCCCTCCCGTACCCCACCACACTACTTTGCCAGTCCTACGCAGTTAGCCCCCCCGAGCAGCAAAGGAGCAAAAGCACGGGCCATCACCGAAGAGGACGGGGGGACGGGGAGAGAGAGGCGAGAGAGAACGCGCAGTCTCTCCTTCCATTCCTTTGTTTAAAGCGGCAACTCAAACCCCCGGGCGGCGCTGCCACTTTCTGCCACCTGTTCTACGCTCCTGCCCAGCCCACCTCACCACGTCCATTTGCTCACCCACAAGTCGGGTTAGGTCTCCAGCTGCTTTCTGACATCGAAACCTGGCCCGCCAGACAAATCGCAGCAGCCAACGAAACGCCGAGGAGGCAAAGCCAGCGCTCACCGCACACTGTGCCTGCCATTCCCACTCTTCTCCTTCTTCCCCCCTCCTCCACCCAAAATCGACTACCTCTCATCTTCCCGTAACCTTTCCCACTTTCGACCTCACCACCCAACGACGCCCTCTCCCAAGTTCTTTGCCATCCGCTCAGGACTTTTGCCAGTTCCATCTCGCTCCTACGATTCCGGAATCGAGTGAGCTGTCTTCGTTTTCATCTATCTTTCTTCTATTTTCCCAGTCCTCACCCACATCCTAATTCAAAATGGAAGGTACGTGACGCCATCTCCATCTCTGCCAGCAATTCACTCCCTGTTCCACGACTCCGACGCCGCCTCACATCCCCTGGCCTCATCGGAGTCGCGATGCTCGAGTCCATCAATATTCGTCCTTCTTCTGCCTCACTTGCTAACATGGATCTTTGCAGAGGAGGTTGCCGCCCTCGTTATCGACAATGGGTAAGCTCCCCACCGTCTCACCGACCATTCCGCCTCCTGGGCCCTCGAAGGGATCTGGCCAACCGTCAGCCCTCCCGATAACCCATTGGCATATGATCCATCGATACAATATATCCTGCAATGAATTTGGTTCTGACTTGATTCCAGTTCGGGTATGTGCAAGGCCGGTTTCGCCGGTGACGATGCGCCCAGAGCTGTCTTCCGTAAGTTCCCCCTCATCCGCAGGCCGCAATCTTCTCCATAAGGGGTATACGATTTCGGTCATCCATACTCGAGATTGTTGTTCTAACTGTCCCTTAGCCTCCATTGTCGGTCGCCCCCGTCACCATGGGTAGGTCTATCTCTTGCTACGGCAATGCCATCTCCCGCGCCGCGACCTAACACGTGCACAGTATCATGATTGGTATGGGCCAGAAGGACTCCTACGTCGGTGATGAGGCACAGTCGAAGCGTGGTATCCTGACGCTCCGCTACCCCATCGAGCACGGTGTCGTCACCAACTGGGACGACATGGAGAAGATTTGGCACCACACCTTCTACAACGAGCTCCGTGTCGCCCCCGAGGAGCACCCCGTCCTCTTGACTGAGGCCCCCATCAACCCCAAGTCCAACAGAGAGAAGATGACCCAGATCGTCTTCGAGACCTTCAACGCCCCCGCGTTCTACGTCTCCATCCAGGCCGTCCTGTCTCTGTACGCCTCCGGTCGTACCACCGGTATCGTCCTTGACTCTGGTGACGGTGTCACCCACGTTGTTCCCATTTACGAGGGTTTCGCTCTTCCCCAGGCCATTGCCCGTGTCGACATGGCTGGTCGTGACTTGACCGACTACCTCATGAAGATTCTCGCTGAGCGCGGTTACTCCTTCTCCACCACTGCCGAGCGTGAAATCGTTCGTGACATCAAGGAGAAGCTCTGCTACGTCGCCCTTGACTTCGAGCAGGAGCTCCAGACCGCTTCTCAGTCCTCCAGCTTGGAGAAGTCCTACGAGCTTCCCGACGGTCAGGTCATCACCATCGGCAACGAGCGTTTCCGTGCTCCTGAGGCTCTGTTCGCTCCTTCCGTTCTTGGTCTTGAGTCTGGCGGCATTCACGTCACCGTCTTCAACTCCATCATGAAGTCCGATGTCGATGTCCGTAAGGACCTGTACGGCAACATCGTCATGGTACGTTCCCTACTGTGGTTCCAGTATCTAGCTCCAGCAACTAACAATTCGACAGTCTGGTGGTACCACCATGTACCCTGGTCTCTCCGACCGTATGCAGAAGGAGATCACTTCTCTTGCTCCTTCTTCCATGAAGGTCAAGATCATCGCTCCCCCCGAGCGCAAGTACTCCGTCTGGATCGGTGGTTCTATCTTGGCCTCCCTGTCTACCTTCCAGCAGATGTGGATCTCCAAGCAGGAGTACGACGAGAGCGGTCCCTCCATTGTCCACCGCAAGTGCTTCTAAAGTAAGTCGACGGCGGAGCGAAATTGTAGCATGCGGCGAGTACTGATAATAATGTAGCGTCTTACTTCCCGAACCACATTCTCGCCCTTCCGAAAACACATCGATTCCAAAGAGGCAACGACCGGTGCAAGGTCTCCACGGCATTGCATATACCGCAGTCAGGTCTTATATTGGCAAAAAGTTGTTGACATGGTCAAGAAGTTTGGGTCGACCCTTCTCCAGAAAGATTTGGTCCTTGTTTTGTAGCAGGGTGCGCGTGGGCGCGTATAGGGGCGGATACGTCTGCAACTGAGGTCGATCATACAATACACTTTGCTTACTGTTCCCGAGTTTCGCACACTCGCTTTTTTAGTGATGTTATAATTTCACGAGAATGCTTTAGCCAGGAGTAGAAATGGACCGATCTATTGATACAGATGTTGCTCTATGCGACCAAGTGATTATTAATGCTACGGGTTTTTACTCTGGACCGCGGAACTAGGATCAGCTGTAAAGGTCTTTACTTCTCCAGAGCTTGGGTCGCCGTTCGTCTCGTCTTGACCGGCCCCTTCACTAGCTCTATCTTCGCTCGCCTCACTATTTGCTTTTTCCTCTTCAAGCTGGCGGTACTTTCTCTTGCTCTTCTTGGATGCACTGGCGGCCTTTTTGCGCTTCACATCGCCGACAATGGCGGAACGACTCTGGTCGCCATTCTGCAAGTTATCAATCTTTTCGGCCAAGATTTCGCGGGCAATCTTTCGATTCTGGGACCGGGATCGGGTGGCTTGGGACTTGACGACTATGCCAGTGGGTATGTGTTTGAGCTGCACGGCCGAGCTCGTCTTGTTCTGTAGGAAAGGTGGGGTGGTTAGCACAAGAAGAATATGATGGGAGGGAAGCTCCTCGTCAGTCATGCGGCCTCAGGCAAATCGAGCCGCATCAAGCTCGAGTGTCGGCCGCATTGCATTGCATTGGTTGGGAGAAAGGACGAGCGAGAGGGCTGCTGCCACTCGGGTCAGTGGGGTTTACACGTACAATCTTCTGACCACCCGGCCCGCTGCCTTTGAGGTATGATTCCTCAATGTCGAAGTCTGGAGGGGGTTTGGGCCGAGGTGGCATCTGGTGCCTCTTTAGCGACGCGGAGGGGGATGTGCTGAAGAGGGCGACGAGGGGCAATGGGAGTGACAGTGACAGCAGCGCCGGGCTCGCCGCCGCGGGAGGGCCTCGGCGCATAAAGGCATTGGCGTTGGATGCGCCCGCCTGGAGGGGGAGACGGGTCAGAAGGGGGAGAGGAGGAGGCATCGCGCGCGCCGGGCCATTGTCCGTGGGTTTGCGGAATGTTTGGCGGTGATGGGTGAGGATGGAGGTGAGGCTTGCTGGTGAGGTTTCGCCAGGTTCGAGGTTCGTTGCTTCACGGCGCGCCTCGTGGGCCGGGCGGTATTCCCAGGATAGGTGGGCCGGTTCGGATGTGGAGTGTCAGCAGCCGGCAGACGGCTGAAGGCCGAAAGGGAGGTGCATGACGATTAGCCCAGGTGCCCAGGTGTTGAGAACTTCCATTGTGCTGAGCTGCTGGTTCGGGCAGGTGAGGCGACCAATCAGAGGTTGATTTTACTCAGTCTTTACTGGGAGGCGACCTGTAAATTAATCCCCCACTTTTACTTTGCTGGCAGTGTGGAACCCAACTCTTCTCTCCTTTCCCCGTCAGTGCTTCCTTTGCGGATCTGTCGGGTACAGCTTTTTGGCGGTGGTGCTTTGCTCAGTCATTGCTAGTTGTTTTGTCGCGTGGGCGGGCCACCAATTTCACTGATAAGATTCCCTCCCCCCCGTCCCGCGCAAACCCCGTCCTCGGACGATGTCCTTAGAGTTCGCCTTTTCTCAACCCGCAAACTCCCTTTGATCTTCCTCCTCATCGCAAAAGACGGGATTCTAGAGAGGTTGTTCGGGATCTCCTACGACGGACGCCAACACGGCATCTACGAACGAATTGGCAGAGTAGACGTTTTAATCCTTACCACGACGAACGTTCCTTCGAGGGATCGCCCACCTCCTTTTTCTTGCCCGTGACCGCCGCCGCGACTTTTCAACCTCCGTCAAACACCGCGAGAACCGAGCGAGCAAAGTCTCCTCCCCTAAACCTCAGAAAAATATCGGAGCGTTCGTCTGAGAACGTACGAGAAAACAACAAAATGTCGGCCCTCCAGTCCTTCAGCAAGTGGCTGCACCTGAAGCAGTACCAGATCGAGGTCACCTTCAGCGTGTACATCTTCACGCCCCTCGAAAAGTTCATCTTTTGTACGTTTCTTTTGCTCCTGCCCGTCTCTGAACCTATTCGCGACGATAAACTGCCGCACACCTCCTTCCCCCCCCCTCCCCCACCCCCAAGAAGCTACGAGAACAACGCCCCCGGCTAACAAACCCTTCCTCGTCTTGCAGATACCGTTCTCTTCCTCCTCAGCAGCTTGACCATCATCGCCACCGTCCTATACCTGCCCCAGCACATCGCCTTCCTCATGAGCCGCGCCTGGTTCTACATGCACGGCGACCCGATCGACGCCGTCGTCGACACCGTGGTGGACGCCGTCGAGTTCACAAAGGCCGCCGTCGAGAGTGTGCTGATGGCCGAGAAGACGGGCACGACTGCGGCCGCGCTGGCTCAGCAGACTGTCGAGCTCGTCAAGGAGTTGTAAAGACTTCCTTTCGCGAAGGAGGCTTCTGCATTCCTGCCACGCAGGCAAGCCGGCCATTCCTATGACATGACAATGATGCATGCCGAATGAACGAATAGGAAAACAGGGGAGGGTATGGGTATGAGGGAGCTGTAGAGGAGGATCTTAATGGCGAGACATGGACGACCGGACCGCCCGATGAAGAGCTCGAAGGGCGTGTCGCATGTTGCGCGCGCAAAGTGTCGTTTATTCGCTTCTGGTGCGGGCGTTCCATTGGGGGTTTCTTTTGATATGAATCAAGTTTATTCAGTTCAGGTTCGGATACGAAAAGGCATATATACATATACATACTGTAAACTCACATCACATGCGGCGACGCGTGTCTTTAATTCATATCCATTCGTACATGCATGGCACTCAGCTCTCCAAAATTCTTTTGAGCGTCTACTGGAGTAGGAACGCGTGCTTCAAGAAACGTAAAAGTTTATTTCATTCATTCGTCGGGCTTGGACGGCGCGCCTAGTCCTGTGAAGCTGTATACCCGCAAGGAACTATCTTCACCGGCGATACCTAGTTCGTCTGTGTTGCTTTCGCTCCTTGATGGTCGCCAGGCGAGTTGGGAGACAGGCTTTGGGAGGCAGAGGCTTCGAGAGGGTGAAAAGTCAGCAACATACTTGCATAGGATACGAAAGGGGAGGGAGAGGGAATAGTACCTCGACGCAAGCTGGATCGTGCCGGCCGGCTGGAACGTGCCAGGGTCCAGCGTGCAAAGAGAGATCTTGCCGGACTCGGTGCCGACAGCGAGGACGAGCTCGCCAGCGGCACCCCGTCTGCCGAGGAAGTCGACGGCCGTGACGGGCCCGTCAAAGGCAATACTCGAAGCCAAAGTGAACTCGGTCTTGCTGACGCCTTGCTCGTCCTTTGCGGCCTCTTTGCCAGCCCACACCTTGGCGTTCTTGTCACGTCCCGCCGTCACAAAGACCCTACTGCTGCTACCATCACTCGCCGACAGAGGCGCCCACGCGGCGTCGAGAATCATGCGCGTGTGGCCCTTGGGGTTCGCCTGGAGGAGGGAATACTGCTGCCCATCGCTCCCGCGCTCGAAGACGGCCCACTGCCGGTCTCTGCCCACACTCAGGAGGAAGCGGTCGTCCGGGGAGAACCGCAGCCTCGTGGCGGTCAGGGTGTGCGCCGCCAGCGGTGGCCTGACCTCGGTCCAGCGCTCCGTCTCAAAGACACGGATGACGGCATGGTTGAGAGAGCTCGCCTTGCAGGCGCTGGCGACGAGCTTGCCGTCGTGGCTGGCGGCCAGGCAGGAGATTTCGTACCCGTGGCCGTACAGCTTCTCCGTCTCCGGCCAGAGGGTGTGCCGCGAGAGGGACTCTTCAAAGGGTGGGTGGTCAATGTCCAGCATGGACTTGCGAACGACGGTGGCCGGGTCGACGGCCTCGCGGTCGTACTGGTCGTCGGCTTGGACTTCCTGGTCGTCGTCGACAGCGTCAATGGCCTTGTTGGAGAGGCCTAGCACGGGCATGTTGGCGCCGTCTGGCATTAATTCCGCGGGTGCGCCGCTCTCGATTCCGCCGAGGGTCTGGAGCATTTTGGCGACGGCGCGCGGCTCGCTGAAGACGCGCATGAGCTTCTCGTCTGCGCCTGAGACGAACTGAGAGGCACCCAAGGTGTCGATACAGTTGAGATCGTAGCCGTGGATCTGGGGACGGGACATCTCGTGCCACGAGCGGGCACCAGTGACAACATCACCGCGCTTCCATCGGGCGTGGAGACGTGTTGTCTGATCCGAACTCGTGGACATGAGATAGTCCCCGTCTCGGGACCACGCGATGCCGGTGACGGTTCTGGTGTGGCCGCTGACGGCGATGGCGTTCCTCCACTGGTAGCGCTCATCGTCAAAGACCCAGCGACGCCAGCTGCCCGTCCGGCCCAGGCAGACGACGGACTTGCCATCGGGTGCCCAGAGACCTGTCCAAAAGCCACCGATGCTGCCCGTCGCCGTCGTCGCGCCCTTCTCTCTGCTGATCTCGCCTAGCCTGACCATGCTGACCCAGATACCGGAGGTACTGTCGGCTTCCCACATGGCGAGGGAATTGTCTGCGGAAGTGGAAAGTAGCTGGAGCTTGCCTTCGCGGCTGGTGAACCACTTTGCGCTGTAGATCCAGTCTTCGTGGCCGAGTAGGAGGGCCTCAAAGGTAATGGAGAAGTCCTTGCCGGCGGACTGAAGCCGGTGGGCCTTATTTGAGGGAGACTTGCCCGGCAGATAGGCACCGCTTAGAGGATCTGAGCCTTCCGCGGCGAGGGACGGCAACTCCTTGCCCAAGTGTAGACGCCAGAGTCTGA